CGCTCGTGCTAAATCCTAAAAATAAGTTATTCAGTTGTACCTTGCAACATTCACGATATGGAGACCATGATGGCAGCTTGCGTCGCTCAAGGGCTAGAACACCTGCCAGATAATGTGGAAAAACAGCTAAGTGACTCCTCAGGGTTTTTCATCGTTATAGAAAATTTCACTAAAAGGCCGCCGTTCAAGACAGCGACCAATGTACTCTAAGAAAAGGAGCTAATTAAAATTTTAATTCAAGAGTGGCCTCAAGGCCGCTGTCATTGTGTCGAGTGATCATCGAAACGCGCCACTCTAGGTAACTTTACATAAACCCCTCGGCTGAATTAAGCAGGATGAGTATTTTTCGAAACGTGGCAAGCGGATACCGCACTATGACTACGTAGACACTTCCTTGAGGCGGATTTTTAGTCAAGCCTCAAGCACTTCTGCGATGTTGACTGTCACTCTGCGGAATTATCCTGTCCCGTGATCTTATTTGTCAAATTTAACTCTGATCAGTCCATCGCAGGAAGAGCCGGCTTCCTGCGCAAAAGGGTGTTTCCGACACTTCCCGTGCACCTAACCTATCAAACGCACGATATTTAGTGCGAAAATATTGGGAGTCGTACACAGGACTGCGGGCCCGCCGTAATCCAGAGCATGCCTATTGCCGTGACCAAACTTTAGCCCTGACCTTCCGAGCTCTAACCGCAATCTCCACCGTCACCCTAACATTGATCCTAACCCTACTTTTCTTGGAATTTAGTGCAAGGCCACCCGTGGCCAATTAAATATTTCCTTCAAAAGGTGCTCTGGGGGATTCGAATAATTCATTCTGACCGAACTGTGAAAAACTCGGCGACCTGGATGGAATATGCGCCCACGACAGCCTCCCCCACCCACGGGTGTCGCGAGTTTAATCATATTTGAGTCACGATGCCCACTCAGACTACTGCAACCCATGGAATCCACCGAAGTCGCCGAGTTTTTCACAGGTGACTCAAAATGGGCTTTTTCAAAGTAAACAAAAAATCAGACTGCCTTTCATCAGCTAAACACATTTTCCAACTTGGGTCTACAAATTTACAAAGACCCCTTAGGCGATCACTACGACAGCGCCATCACCGCTGCCGCCACCACCACCCGACCCGCATTGACGACTGCGATTTTGACAGGTCGGCAACACGCAGGGGAGCGTGACTTAGGGAAATTACGTCGACAACATGGCCACCGCAAGAAAAATGAATGGAGACAGGAAGAACCAAAAAAATAATTTATTAAAAAAACGTCAGTAACAAAACCCGCCAATCTACTTTCGTCCTTCAACCATGATGATGTGGTAGCCGAATTTCGTCTTTACGGGGGGATTTGTGTAGACGGGCTTATCCACAGTCGACGGCGTGAGCTCAAAGGCCGCATCCTGCAATGAGCAAAACATGAAACTGTGGAGTCTGAGGGTCGACGAAATGCCAAGTGATAGCGAAATAGGAACGGAAGTGGATTAAAAAAAGCTCGATAAGCGCCAAAAAGAACTGGAATCACAAACAGCACACTTACCTGGAAGGGTCCGACCATGGAGCCCCGGGACATCCAGCCAAGGTCACCCCCGGAACGGGCCTTATCCTCGCTGTACTTCTCCGCCACAGTGTTGAAACGTGCGCCATTGTTCAACTCCTCCATGGCCTCCATGCACTTGCTGAGTTTCTCGCACAAGATGTGCCTGACCTGTAAACAAACGTAAAACCTATCACCTCCCATGCTGAAACCAGTCGTAGAAAAAATTTGGAAAACAGACACGGCTGCGGGAATGAGTTACCCTAGCACTACAGATGACCTTGCGCTGCAATACAGAGGAGGGGTTAAGGTAGGTATTAGTATAAGGGTTAGAGTTGGGACACAGGAATAGGTGCCATGCTGGAATTTAGGACAAAGACATCTATAGTACGAGGCATGGGTACTTGCTCTCGTATCCAAACAAAATAATTTGCTCGGACTGATCGGCAGAAATAGGAAAAGGGAACGCGAATTTTGCACTATAACAATCCCAATCTTCCTATTGCATTGCGCGCATTTGCATTCATGATAACGTCTAGAAGCAATTCCTTCGGGGGTTGCTTTTATATGATTCGCAATGCATGTCGCCAGTCTGACGCACCGATCGCGGTATACTACGTGTGCGAAACATCGCGTGGCAGGGCACGAACACATCACATCCGGTTGAACATGGCACACGAAGTGGGGACCGCGTCGCGTGCGTGGCACGTGTAGCCGGGCCGTCGAGTTTTGTCAGCCGAAACGCTCGCGCCCACCCCCCCCCCCATCGTCTTAAACTCATCCTTCCACCAAGGCGAAGATGAGGGAGAGTGAGATAGAGGCCCTAAAAGTCTGTCTGGCTATTAAACTAAGTCGCGCATAGGTCATCGTTGCTGCGCTCAGTTTGTGTCAGCCGAACTGTCATACATGCCAAGAAGCCGGAATGTCGGTATAAAATAGTGGCTGAACTCTGCAACAAGAACCTTCTCCCCTTTTATTAGGCCGTTTCCGAGGTTATTAATGACGACCACCGATGATATCACTAGACACGCTGAGCACTCACAGAGCTGTAGCAAATAAGTGGAGGGGGGACTGTCAGCCTAGAGCAACTTAGCCCGACTCGACGACTTCTCCAGAGCCCGGATGGTGGCACTTGCAATCCAGTGAAACATAAATCCCGTAGCTTCTGACAGCCGACAGCTCGTTTTCCGGACTGGTTGATAACCATCGATAGCCGGGAAGGTGGCAGCGACATGCGCGCTACCTAGACTATTAGGAGGGCGGCTTGCGAAGCACCGACCCCACCATCTACTACCGCACGTGCCGTGATCCAATGCCACGACAGGGTCAAAACGACTGGATATGAACGGGGAGATGATGGGTGATCAGGTACTGGCGGACGTCTGCGTGTGTGTCACATACGCGCGGGTCGAGCAATCCACACAAGTGAGACTTCACTCATTACGTTAGCATATCGGTGAGGTTGCCTATAAGACCACACTAGCAAGGAACGATTGCAATGAAATTCTCAGCCGCGTTGACCCACTAGTAGGGAGAATTCAAAACCAAAACTTTGGGGGAGGAATATTTTAAAAATAAGACAGATTTATAACAGTGAAGAACGAAGGCGCAAATTTGTCCTCTCTCTCTTTCCTTGAAGACTGAACCAAACTGACTGAGGATGAGACTAATCACAATGGTCAACAATCGGCTCTCCCCTGCCGTGATGTTTCTTTATCCACTAGGAACCAGACTTCACGCGTCCATCCACCCGAAGGGAGGGGGACAGACCGAGTGATTAGCTGAGCGCACGGCCATAAGTGGCTCCCTCGATAGATCTAGCCGGTGACTTAAAAGTGACTTTTTGTGCTGGTGACGAGAACTTTCTTGTCCTAGCCCAATATAGGGGTATAAGGGCATCAGAATTCATAGGCCCCAACTAATTCCGTGCACACTAGGAAACGAATCAAACGGCGACTCAAATCTGAAGATGAGCTCTCCGATAGAAATGGTCATTCAGTCTCAGAGTAATTAATGACGCTGAGGCACGTCAGCTTCGCCAGTGACGTGCCACCTCATTAGAAGACCAATGGACTTTCGATGTCTACACAAAGTTAATTATGTTAACAGGACAGGGTCGATGGACGGCATGCCTCCTATAGTCGGCTTTTGGTGAAACTACCTCGGACAGAAATCGAGCTCATAACAATACTACTGATTCTGAACTGTCCGCTATGCATGTCTCCAAAGGGACATTCTGCCACCTGGAATGCAGCCGATGTGGTTGGCAAGCAGCATTTGCATTGTCATGTGCGATTTTATGGCAGCAAGCAGTCTTGGTAGGGGACAGGAATATGGACCATCCGTACTACAGGTAGCCCTATGCTAAATTCCAGGGTGGTTAGGATTGGGGTTATGCCGATTGATTTTGGGGTTAAGATTAGGACTTGGGGATAGGAACCCCGCCCGGGGATTTGGGCCATGTGGTACGGTGATATTAACTGAAACAATTGAATAGGGTCGAGTTCTGATTTTGTCTTTCTCTCCTGGTCATCATAGTTTTAAATTATGTGGTACGGTGGGTGTCCCGTGTCCAACCACAAGTTTACCAACACGGGCAATGGGTGAGCATTCAATTTCCCCAGTTCGTATTTAATAAAAATTTTCCTAAATGCACCCCTGACTTTATAATTGACTAGTTTTACGATTTGATTACTATTCTAGTGGTGATCTGCGTTTTTGGACGTGAATTGATGTAGGCGGCTGAAAATATATTCAAAAGAAAGACAAGATGGCATGGCCCTACCATGACTCCGGTATCTGGCCAATTTCACGAAATGTTAACTGGAATTCCGATATGTGTTTTCGACTGAAAAGGATAATTTGAGTGGAAATGCAATGATTCCCGTGAAGCAAAGATATTTCAGTCCGAACGTCTGCTAAAACCACACTGGGTAAAAAACTGACTAGCTGAGTAACATGCATTTTGTATCTGATTTATGACGTCCCGACGAATGCAAACATATTTTATAGAAAATATGCGCAAAAATACTTTTTTGCGTGCACTAATTTGGTAAGAAGTTTTGTTTTCTTCCAAAAAGTATCATCCGATGTAATGTTCCTCAATTCACGAATGCTTCTGAACCTGACCTGCAGTTGGACTTGCGTTTAGGGTTGCCAAACTAGATGCTGCATACTCTCCGTCTAAGGGAAATCATGCATTTGTCTATCACGACATTATGGAGGGTTTGTACAATTTTGTAACGTAAGTGGATCATGTTGTATACTTCATAAAGAGAACTAGTAAAGGGACATGTAAGATATCTTAAAACATATCATAATCACAAACTTCTTCAGACCGGTAGATACCCCCTTTTCAGGCAAAGAAAAACATGGAAGAATACGCAATTTGCTACCGAATGAGTATAAAGAGGCATATTTTCCTGCACATCTTCTATAAAATGCATTCGACTTCAAAAAGTCGACGAAAGTCGATGGGGAAATGCATACTACTGAAATAGTAAATTTTATTTAGTGTGCTTTCTGCAGGCGGCCGGCAAGCGGCGAATTCAAAAGCGAGTATCCTGGCGTGACTAAAATATTTTTGGATTATGCTGCTCACTAATCATTACTACAACGCATTTAAATAGTATTTCCAAACCGAAATCACATTTCAGAATTTTGGCATTTCACGAGATAGGTTGGGTACTATAAGCTCTAGCCGGCTGCAGATAGCACACTGGAATACGGCGGTCAGTGTTGTGTGAGTTTCGGTCCGTACTTCGACGGGCGCATACAGTTAATGGAGAAGTGAGTGTGGGATGAATTTCCCTGGCTTCCTTGATACAATAGATACAGCTTGAGGAGTAGTGAACATCTAAGACTGGCGACCGAACTGCAGGTCATGTGCAACCTATGCCACTGCACTCCTGTGGATGCTCATCAGATTGCGTTCACATTCAAATGGTCTGTAAGCGTGTGCTATGCCAGTATCAGCAAGCCAAGGCCATCGCAACCTGGTATGCGATGGCAGTAATCTGACACCTGGTTCCCTGCCGGTAGATGCGTTTGCGCTACCGATGGGTATACGGGTGGTAGGCATGGCTGCGCCGTCATCATCCTCGTTCTTCTGACCTCTGTTGGGGTGCTATTGGTGAAAAATCTTGGTCAAGTCCATGTTGTGGACCAGGGGGTATGCTGGTGCGCCTAGGTGCGGGCCCGGCCGTATCAGCCACCTGCGCCCCCCCTCACCTCCGGTCTTCTTGACTCTGTCTTGACACCGGGTCAGGTGGGGAGTGGGGAAGAGGGAGTGCGGTAGACGCTGTGCAAGTCTACCATCACTGCAAACTAATTTACGCACAAGCTAACGTCCCTGCTTCACCATGCTGTAGAGCACTCGGTGGACATGGTCGGGAACGACGGTCGGACTGTCGCGTTCACATAAAAACGCTATATAACAGAGGACTCTAACGCTCGCTTATCCTTGATGGTAAAAAAAAGCTGGTGCAAACCAAAACATGCAATGTTCGAAGAACACAGCCAGAAGAACAAAAAGGCAGAAAAACCTTGACAGAATTTCCGCCCTTTGCTGGCGCTTTTGCGGAGGCTCCGGCATCTCCAGTGGCACTGGCGCCCTTCGACGGACCGGCTTTACCCTTGTTCTGCTTTGGCATAATCAAGCTCCCTGCAGGAAAATGCAAGACGTTAGTTCTGATATATGTTTCCAAGAAGAGGTTGAGTAAATTTTGACACAGGATGCTGCACGACAATAGGCAGGGGTTCGGGAAAAAAGTCAGTAAAAAAAGCAAGTAACCGGGGCGCTGTCTTTCGTATCTATTGGCGCAAGAGCTGATTGGCCAGAGTGAACAATTCACGCCCCGCACCACTGAATCAGTTGCGGCATCAGCCGCTACGGTGGATCAAATGCGTGTTACGTAAAACGGCAGAAAAATCCACCCAGCCAATCAGCGCTGAGTAGTTAGGTCGCATGACAGTTGTCGTCACAGGCCTTTGATCAACACATTCATCAGGATTCTAAGCGAGAGATGGGGAGCGTCAGCTAAAGGTGTGCCAATCACGTGACAGAAAGCGCGCGGAGCGCACCAGCTCCTGCGGTGCAGGTGGGTGCAACCATACAAAGAAGTGAGCATGTCTACTTATCCCTGAAAAATGAACCGCAGCGACGGCGTTTAAGCAACGTAGGGATGCATTACCGAAGTGATGCGACCCGCAGAATTGATTCAATTGCGCAGGGGAGTGGAGGACAGGCCTGCCAATCAAACTAGTTGGCACCTGATGCGTGCCCACAACTACTACCGTGTCTGAGACATGTGTGTGACGTGAAAAATGTGCCTTCGAGTGGAAGGTGTATTTTGAGCGTAGTTGAAATACTGGTAAAGACAGAATCGTATTACTTCACAAGCCGTAAAAAGGCGATTAAGGCCCACCCCGATTTTTTCCTCATCCATTTCAAAAGTCACAAAATGACAAAAGGTACTCTATGGACAACGAACTTTTCCCGCAAGGGAAAGGAAAAAAGCTAGCTCTAGCAGTAAAAGCTCCAGAAAAACGGGCATTCATAAAAATTCTACCTTGAAAATAGACTGTATATCGTTTAAAATGCGTCCATTTGGGACGAATTTACTAAAACAACACCCTGTACTAAATGAAGAAGAAAGGAAAACGAACAAGTGCTCATTGAGAGAGGCTTATTAACCATTGATTGCCACAACGCCATCGGCTACGAAGGCTGCAGACCAGATCATCAAGAACACATAGAATGTCCTCAATTTGTCATGCAATCAAGGCAGACCTTTGAGTGTCGTCCCACTGCGAGCTATAAATTACTTGCCTGTGTTCGAAAATGCAACCGAAATTTATGATGGCCAAGGACAGGAGACCAAATGAGAACTCGGCTGCATTAAATTGTTTCAGCCAATGTCATCACACGCCAACAAAACTGACCTGCCACAAGGGCTGAGAACCTGGGCAAGGTACTGAAACTGCTATTAATTTGCCAAGGTCAACAGTTGATTTTATTTGACCGATTTTTGAAAAAAATTGACGACCTTGGTGAGATTCGAACCTGCAATCTCAGGGGCAGGGCTTATGTACAGCCAACGCTCTAACCACATGAGCAGCAAGGCCCCACCGAGACCCGTGAGTTTAATTGCCCGGCCTACTGTAACTTATTGGGTCGACAAATTCTGATGCAGTAAGCTGACTGTCCAAGCAGGATTTCCCAAAGAATAAGGAATTCACCAGGTGACAACCAAAATTCCAGTGGAACTCATAGCTCAGGTAGTTAGAGCATTTGGCTGTACTCAAGCGCTGACCTTGCTGACATGGGTTTGAATGCCACCGAGATCGCCGAATTTTGCATAGGCGGGGCAAATAAGTTATACAAATCTGCCAAAACACTTATTAATTAGTTCATATTGACCCAACTGTGAAAAACTCGGCGCCTCGGTGAGATTCGAACCCATACAGTAATTAACTGATTCTGATAGTCATCTGGTGGATTCTAGATTGATTGCTTAGGAAATCCTGCTCAGGCAGTGAGCTTACTGTATCAGAATTGATGGATTCTACATGTTGCAGTAGGCCGGCCGGATAACTTGACACAGATGTGATTAAACTCACGGCTCCCAGTGGGGACTCTAGCTCAGGTGTTTGGAGAATTGGCTGTTGCTGCCATGGGTTTGAATACCACCGAGGCCGTCAAGTTTTCTACAGATGGGTCAAACGAATTATTCAAAATCTGCCGAAAAAAACTATTAATCGCTAATCTCACGAACTAAAAGTGGCATCTATCGAATTCCTGTTACCAGGCTCTGTCAGCATACAGTCGGGTCAAAAGGAAAAGCAACGAAAGGTGGCAGCGCAGGAGTTAATGGGAAGAGTGCCGAAAACAATCATTCTGGCATAACAGGAGATGAGAAATAATGTGATATGCATATTATGAAATCTAGGACTATAAAAAATAGAATTACGAGAATATTTTAAAAAACCAAAGGCAATTATAGGCTAAATTCAAGGATTTTTATAGACTAAAAAAAGTTCATTTGGTCAACATGCGCTTTCGATAACTCAATATCAGGTCAATTTAGTTACATAGAAATTGAAAAGAAGATAAGTTCACAAGGTATATAAGTGACTCAAGGTCTATTAACACTTATAGCTCCCACACCATCCACATGAAAAGGTCGGCGTCAGGAAAGCGACAACCACGATGCAAGTACTGAACTTCAACAGCAACCACCATATCAGCCACAAACGCAGGTATGTAAGGACACTCTATCGGCGTGTCGAAACGCACTACAGTGAGCCGGGGGACAAGATTGACGAACTACAATATCTCCGACGAGTCTTCAAAGCCAATGGCTACCCGCGCAACTTTGTCAACCGGTGCATACGCAAAAGGGACGAAGGGCCTAACCACCAGCTCTCAAGTTGCGGCTCATTCGACAAGATCCGGCCACACATTCAAATTCGACAAGGCCGAAATTCTCGCAAGAGGTGACAACCGCGTGATCCGGGAGCTACTTGAATCATGGTTTACTGGCCCCCAGTCCATTAGCAAGTGCAATGATCTTCCCCTTCCATACTCGGTGCTGAGACTTTGCTTAGGCGGAGTAATTAGCCACGCGGGGAGCGCACATGTGAACACTCTTCCCAACACCAGGGTCGGTGGGTCGATGGTCGAGCAATCGTTATACCAATATCCAACACACATGATGAAATTGCAGCAATTAACGACGCGAATGTCGGCCATCAAGCAATTATCACACCAAGTGCAGCGATCCCCGATGGAGGGGGAGCCGTGAATTTTCATAGAAATGCGGTAGCATAGCGACTGCATTGTATAAATACTGCAGCACCCTGTGCATGAACCACCCACATCTGCTATCGTCTTTGAGGATGGGTTCGAGCAGGAATCCGAAACGTCAGTCAAAGAAAGCTCTCGTTCCAGTGATCGTATCTTCTTCTTCTTCTTCTTCTTCTTCTTCTTCTTCTTCACAAAGATCGGTGTGTTCTGATCATTGGGGCAAGGGGCGGGCGACATAGGCTGAGTGGTGTTTGTAAGTCGGGTACGTGGAGCACATATCACTTCCATTAGGGGGTTGGAGGGGTGTCGAATGATCATCTGGGGCGGGCACTGGCCACGGAAGACAGAGGACCTGCGTCAACGTCTTCTGACAACATAACAATGGATCCGCTGGCCGTATAGACACTGCCTCGGCTGTACCTAGCACCCGTTGGCACAGGCCTCTGGAGAAGCTTGCCGGTGTCCGATAGACAACCTGGAAGGCTTCTTTGGTAACGACTGGCTGAGTAGTACCGACAATATGTGTGAGAATAGAACTCGAAGTCGATTTGTTTCCCTCTCTTCCTAGCCAGGCCGGCACCTGTTCACATACGCTCATTTAAGAGGTCTCGCTGTACGGCTAATATATCCCGATCCACAGAAGCAAGTGAATGAGAAAATACACATCGACGTGGCCTGCAACAATTATCCGTCTTTAACTTCCAATCGCAGGAGCCTGAGACGGCAATTTCTGATTTATTGCCGTTAGCAGCCAAAAACAGTTCAACGCCAGGGCATTAGAGGACGAATCGACTTGTTAGCATGCGTTATAGCGGACAGACAGCAGGAGCCGTAGAAAGGTGCACCTCGCATAATTGAGGCGCAGTTACGGAATGAACGTGGACAGGTGAGCGAGGGCAGTAAGCCCGTTTGTGATGGGGCGCAAGTCGGGTAATATTGCATTTCTAGTCATGCACGTACGCGTGCGAACGACAACCAATAAATTGAGCGAACGAAACTGGGCTCATGGTTATTGATCGTGCGCCCGTAACAGTTCGATCGTCATTGTCGACGCTGTCCACCATGTACTCCGTAGGAGGGTGGGAGCAGGGACGGTGGCTTGCACGTGAGTTAGTATAAAGTGATAGTAGACTTGCACAGCATCTACCACACTCTCACCTCCCCCGCCTGGGCCCCTTGCCAAGATAAAGTCAGGAAGGCCGGAGGCGGGAGAGGACGCGGGTGGCAGGCACGATGTAAACCCGTACCTGGACGTACCACCACATCCGCCGGTCCCCGGACCAGGACCTTACACTACAAGAGGAGAGGCGGTGGGGGGGGCGGCTCAGATTCCATGGAGGGGGAATGGTAAATAGGATGCCGGCGTTAGTAACAAATACAAGCAATCGCTTTCGCAAAAGAGAGCGGACAGCTTGTGAGCGTGGGTAAAAGAACAACGCCCAAAACAAATATATTTATTGGGACAATAAGCGGTCTGGACGAATATTACATTGAAAAGGGGCTACTTCTTGCCCTCAATCATAATGATATGGTAACCAAAGTTAGTCTTGATGGGAGGATCAGTGTAGACAGGTTTCATTACAGTGGAAGGTGTCAGGGAAAAGGCGGCCTTCTAAATAGAAGAAAAATAATATTGAAATAAACGGATTTAAAATGCAGAGGAAGAAACGAAGAGGAAATTCAAGGAAAGTTGATGAATATTCAGGCGGCAAGGGAAAAATTGCAAAGGGGGCAAGTAGTCTGCAGGAGCAATGGTTCATCTGTTAATGAGTAGCAACAATTAGCGATGCAGGTTGACGAGAGAAATTGAAGAAGAAGCAGTAATGCAGGGGAAGGGGCAAAGTGGGCTTACTTCGAAGGCCTCATTCATTGAACCGCGAATCATCCAGCCCAGATTTCCGCCAGATCGACCCGCGTCATCAGTATAGGAATTGGCAACGGCGTCAAATCGTGCGCCTTTCCTCAGCTCATTCAGAGCCTGTTGAATGCGAACCTCCTTTTCACAAAGAATGTCCCTCACCTACACAGCCAATTCAGAAAAAATTTCCTCTTTTATTTTGGAACGGCGTCCAGCGATCGGAATATGAGATATACGCGTCCCTTCGTGTCTTTGGACTCAATGTATAGCCCTCCCAACTGGTCGGATAGCGACCAAGAATATATACAGTAAGTGACCTATCTCATGAAATGTTGGCTGAAATTCTGAAATGCGTTTTCCATTAGGAAGGATTACTTGGTCGCGGTTGTAATACTGCTTATCTTGTGGCATACTCTTATAACATTTCGGACTCGGCAGGAGGTCGGCTTTTAAATGCACTTTTTTTCAATCTCCTGTAGAAAGCGTGCTCAGTAAAATGACTACTTAAGTAGCATGCATGTTTCCCATTGATTTTCGATGGTTATGGAAATTTAAATATATTTTATAGAAACCATAAACAAAATATGCTTTCTTTCAGTGACTTAATAGAGAATCACGTCTTCTTTATATTTTATACTTAAGGAAGAAGTATAATTAGGTTTTAAAAAAGTTTTCCAATTTCCGAATGAGTTGGAGCCTGGTCATTCGTTGCATTAGCGCTTACTAATTTCAGTCTGCAAGGTGCATGCGTTCCGCGTAAAGAAAATCACATATTTTTCTATGCCTTTAAAGAGATATCATACAGAGTACATAAAATTTTGCAATGGATGCGGACCATGTTGTACATTTCATGAGGAGCAGCGGTAAACGGCCAGGTACGATGCTATGTGAATGGACATTTCGCGGACTTAAAAAGTCTCATAATTAGAAACTTTTTTAAAACCTAATTATACTCCTTCCTTAAGTATAAAATATAAAGAAGACGTGATTCTCTATTGACTGCCTGAAAGAAGGCAAATTTTTGTTTATGGTTTCTATAAAATATGTTTGAATTTCCAAGACCATCGAAGATCAATGGGAAAAATGCATGCTACTTAAGTAGTCATTTTTTACTGAGCACGCTTTCTACAGGAGATTGAAAAGAAGTGCATTGAAAAGCCGGCATCCTGCCGAGTCCGAAATGTTATAAGAGTATGCCTTAAGATAATCAGTATCACAACCGCGACCAAGTAATCCGTCCTAATCGAAAACGCATTTCAGAATTTAAGCCAACATTTCATGAGATAGGTCACTCACAGTATATAAAAGAGTCGGGACATAGACAAAGGACTAGGGTGACCATTTCCGGCTGATTGGCCGTCGTCCGCCGGTCTTACCCAAACCCAGGCTCGCCCCACCCGAGCTCTGAACTCGCATTTCTCGGCCATAGGACGTTGTTAAGCCCAAAGCTCTACCCCTGAGTCACGGATCAGTTGCTCTGTGGATCGCAATGGGGAATATTGACGTACATTGGAAGTGTATCCGTCGGCTGGGTTATGGGACATACTCATCCCAGTCCGATGTAGAGCCCTCACAGACAGTTGCGTATCGACCAGGACGATAAAGAATAGCAGCGTTGAGCGATATCAACGGCGATGAGTGTGTCCTCCTAGAGCTAAGACTAACTCCTGCAGAGACAACAGGAGGCAGTCGGTAGAAGGCACAAAGACTGAGCGGTGATAAGCCGCACAAAAGGCGTTTGTGGAATAGGGTGTACTGTCGAGGGCATCCTCATTTCTGGAAGTAACCACTTCCGCAGTTCACCAAAGAAGCTGCGATCGAAGTTTCCCAGGGCCTACCATTATTGCAGCAACGGCGGCCTCTAGAGAAGAGCCGTCCAGCTAATGCCCGGAGAGCAAAGCCAAGTCTCGAAGACGTGGAACTAGTGGAAGCTTGGTGGTTGAATTTGCAAAATCAATCCCCTTCCACAAAAAGTGAGTTTAGTGGCTACAGGCTGATGTCATCGGGGGCGCAAAATGTTCTACAGACAGTCGCCGAGAAGGCAGTGAACGGACGCGTCCGCATCTCGGAATTGTGTCTATGGAACGAGCAAAAGAATGAATATTTTTATGCATTTTTTCCATGAAATATAATCGGACTTTTAGGGGCATCGAAAATCAGTGCGAAAAATTCATGGTACATAAGTAGCCACTTTTTACGGAGCATTGTTTTTGCATGCAGCCGAAAGGAAGTTCGTTCGAAAGCCAGCATCCTGAAGTAACTGAAATATTATAGAATTATGTTGCAGGCTAACTAGTTTTACAACCCTACGTAATCGTTATTTTCAAAACGAAGACGCATTTCGGAATTTCGGTTGACATTTCATGAGTTAGCCCACCTACTGTATTCATGACGAAGGATAACGAATTCCGCCAGTAAGTTGATAAAAGTATAATATTCAATTACTGTGGACGGAAACGGCCGTTCCAGCCATCCGAGCGCAAAACTGTTGAGATCCATCTTATCAACTCATTCTTTTTATCTCGGGCAACCTCAGTGCTGGTTGAGCCGACCCCCTCAAGCCTCTCGGCACTCAAGATGTGGTGGGAAACATCTTGGGGCGTGGAACCGTCGAACTTATTGTTTAGACTTTCCAGCATTCAAATCTTAGACTGGCTCTTCGAGTAGAGATGACCACACGACCACAAGGCAGATTGCGGTTCCATGAGGGAGCTCTCAACCAGGGCAATGTTGTTAACATAGGTAAAATCTGAGACGCAAAGGTCTTGCACCGCTTCAAAGCTTCCGATGGGCAATGAATGTCATGGATACAACCGAATCTATAACACATCGAAAGAGGATCAGCGGGGGAACTCAGCCTTGTCGTACGCCAGCGCTCACGACAACCCACTGATTCCTCCATAGTCTAAGTGCCCATCCAGAAAAGACCTCGACAAGGATTTAATATATAAGCCAACGGAGAAAATAGAGCACAGGAACTCTCGTAATACGGGAGGGATGCTAAAACTAGTTTTATTTGTAGGGCAGATAGACTAGGCGACTGACGGAGTCTGTGGAAGGCATTGAAGAGGCTCGCACTTCTGTCATTTTTTATTACCCGAAGGGGCGCCGAAACAGATCATGCAATCTGAAAGATGCGAAGTAAAGCAGTGTAAATGAATAAAAAACAAGTAATCGAAGTGTATTGGTTAAATAAGTCCAGATTGGGTAGGACGGTATGCGGCAGGCAAGATTACCCTCAACATTAAACTTAATTTCAAACCCAGTTCTAACTCTAATGCCAATCATAAAAGCCACACAACGGATAAACTCTGGCGCATATACCTACCTGCATCAGATAATTAAATTGTGCTATAGTAATAAAAACGCAGGCTTACATATTCAAATGTCATTGGGACCTGCTCACGGCACTCCAGGTAAAAGATCAGGATTAGGGCCAAGTTTGCCTGCCCCATACTGTATTACCCAACCCGGACTTCTTTAACCAGTAATCTTGGACTACTTGTTTTTCGCATGCTCATAGGCCCCCTTAATTTGCACCTTTCAAATTGTGAGCTCTGTCCCGCCACCTTATCGATGTAATTAGACGAAAAGCGGTGCATATAGAAGTTTTCTCAATGCCTTCCACAGATTAGGTTGATTAGTGCGTCTGTCTACCCTGCTGATAAAAGTAGCGCCCAAATCCTTACCATATTACGGCAATCCCTGTGGTCTATTTTTTCAGTAAGCTTGAATACCAATCCTTGCTACATCGACTTATTCACGTACATGTCGCCGTCCCTGCGCACACCACGCGGTGGGACATACGGTGAACATCGTCCGAATTGACGGTTGAACTCTCGCAGAGCAGCGGAAAACTAGCTTGTCCGTTTGAGCACTATTTTTGGAACTATATCTGCACCATATTTGCGTACACATATATATATATCCCGTTCATCATCCCCAAAAGTAGATGAAGCAGAAAAAGAGGCGATTCCATGGACCACACTGTATTGGTGCTGACGTTTCGGAAACTTCCTCGTTTCCATCATCAGAGTGGTGGGGTGTTTGTTCCTATTAGCCCCGAGTTGTTCTGTCTCGCCGCCTGTCTTGTGTGATAGGCATGTCTGATACACAAACTCCGACCTGCCTGATGGCGGGGGATTGGCTTTGGTCTCTCCGTGAGCTAGCAGGAAAAAACACCCTTCTACTCTGATGATGGAAACGAGGAAGTTTCCGAAACGTCAGCACCAATACAGTGTGGTCCATGGGATCGTCTCTTGTTCTTCTTCATCTAATTTTGGAGATGATGAACCGGATAATCTATCTGGATCTCGAATCTTCACTCATGTTGATATGTACATATGCACATGCATACTAATAGTGCTAGAGACAGTGATAGTATAGAGACAAGGGCAACTTTGTAAAATAAGCGCTATCAGTGGACTGGTGGACAGGTAGCAGTGCAAACTAGGCATTGGCTATTTCATGCAACCGGTTCGAGTGTAAAAACAGCCAATATAGAAACAACTCTTGGAAAAAAGACAACAGGCTTCTAAAAGCTCGTCAAAAGTGATGTTGAATGCGGGTAGATAGCGATCACACAACTACCTCAAAGGACTGCGTTGCAAACCATTCGCAAGGTGGGTACTAGGTTAGAACCAGACAGACAAAACCTAAAACGGTGGACCGACGAGAACGCGGGAGAGGAGGATCAGGATGCGACATCGAGGCTTTTAAAACTCAAACAGGCGGAATGAAAGATAGAGCAGCCAAACTGACCTTCACAACAGTGAAACTGTCCGGGGGCGAGGGTTGCGGCGGCAAGTCTGGCTGTGGTGCAGTATTTTCACCAGCACCGTTCGTGGGGAGGCCAGGTGGCTCGCTTCGTTTCTTTTTGCCCATGCTAAGTTGGCAGGGAAGAGGGAATGTACAAAGTTTACATTAGACGGGACAACGGGGACCCCGGGACTCGGCGTCTGCAGAATGGGTTAAAAAACCTTGAGCGCACAGACCAGACAAGATTATAAAGATAGGGCAAACAGGTTCACGGGGGAGACGTTTGAATTTAGGTAGCATCGTCGAATAGAATGAAACATCAGTAGTGAACAGTCAACCCTATTGTTTTTACATCGAGTGGATGAAAAACAAAGCGAAAGGCGGGCATTCAAATGCCTAGCACTACGAAGTCAACAAAAGTGGGATACCAGTCTGCATATAAGGCAAGCAATACAGCACAGAAACGGAATTCCGTTGACAATCTCTTTAAAAGGACTAATGTGTTGAATGTCAGTAACGTCAAACGATCAGAGGTAAGCCAAGCGCAGCGAAGACCAATCGAATAAAGGGGATCAACCTGATTTTTTTTTACCGGAATTCAAGTTACAACAGAACAAAAAAGCAAAACCGAACTGCACGCAGTTGGGTAGGTTGGCCGGAAGTGTATGCCAGACCGAGTCTGTCGCAATCATGTCCGCAGCCCTGAGGATGGCTGCAACAGTTCGAGGACGGTGATATGAATAACCTCTTGAGGATCAATTTTGGGTATATATTATGGGTAACAGTTTGTCTCTTCGTGCAAAAGGAGTACTACATTAACAATATAGTCAACTGACGACACTTCGAAGAAAGGGAGAACATGACTCAGAAAAGAGGACTTTCCTCAAAATTGGTCAAACGCAAGTGCGCTCCCTCGAAAACAATGGCTCTCCCACTCAGACTAAACACATCGTCGCATCGGACAGAAATCAGTTCGGCCGCGCTTTCAGTGTGGGGGTTGGCCCAAAGTCCAGACAGGTGTAATGTCGATTTTCTGCGGGCGTGCTCAGGAAGTGTATGCATGCGAATGCCAATTCCCCATCGAATTTGCGAGTTTAAGTAAAAATTGAGAATAGACTTTAAGGGCCTGGTTCCGATGACTTAACCCCTAATCCACGCACTAATATTGGACAAAATTTTAAAGCTCATATACTGGCTTGCCCCACGCAACTACACATAGTAAGCAGGACGCACTTGTATTGACAGAGGGAGACAAAATCCTTTTACAACGGATACAACTTTCCAACGTTGTCTTGCGACGATCCTCTTATTAATGCACTTTACGCAGCCATAAAGGTGGACGGAAAAATGCAGGCCAAAATTGAGGAACTGAGGAAGGTGGAACGCAAAATAAATGAGAGAGGCGAGCTGAAGTCAATCTCATAGTTGCTTATGCTTAATCTCTTAAAAGGATCCTGGAAGAGCTTCCGCGGTCTTTTTCAAATGACTACATGTTTCGGTGCAAATGGTAGGTACATAAACACCAAAATCGTCTTGGCTTTCGGTACCCCTCCCCCACCCCTCAAATTCACGACCGCGCATCAAATTTTGGCAACTCTTAGCAAATGTGGTGAAGGCGGCCATTAGAGGGACTGGCGGCATTAGGCACCGACGGGCTATGGGCCAATTCAGCCAATAGGCGAGAACTACTTTTTGGCACCCAGTAAGGACCAAAACGCCAAGTCGACTACCAATTCCTCCAGGGCATAGAAAACAAATACGCGCTTTCGTATTTAGGTTATAAATAGGGGGCGGCTATAAAGGCCAAGTCCAAAGACGCCAGTTAACACCAAAAACCGTTTTTTCTTGCTCTTTACTGATAACGACCGCTCTTTTGGGTGTTGGGGAAATGAAGCTGCCACAGACTCCTTGAATTCCCTCGGTTTTGACATGTAGTGCACCCCCTGGAAAATACTAGAACCTTAGATGATCAATCAGGCCAGGGACAACTCTCGGGTACTAAATTAAGTTAATAGACTCGATCACCGTAGCGAATGGCCGTTGACGGTTATCACGTGGCGGCAGGACACCAGGGGTTCGTGCCCAACAAGGAGTCGCTTTCGAGCTGACTACAACTCATGCCAGCTTGCAATAATAGTTCAAACGCTTGCAGAAACTCACACGCTCTTTGTGCTACGCCGAGTTTAAGGCATCCGATTTCCACAAAGGATGTCCAGTCGCGCAGTCAATATAATTCCATAATTGGAGCGTGTTCGCAAGACCCTGTACGAAGCACTGTCTTAATGCATCCACATCATTGTTTAAATGAAGCGCATTTTTTCAGCCAGCAGGTGAAGGGAAGATTGCTTTTTTCGTGGCTGCTAGGCAGGTCTGTGGCATATTCCTAACACCCCGATGAATTTGGTTTCGCAGCACCGTTGATCGACATTCAAAAACGCTTCAGAATCCTGGAGGAATCTTAAGGTCATTCAGGTAGTGACTCCTTGTCGTGCGTGAGATCGCCACCTTCAGGTCCACAGGAACCCTGGGTGTATTTTCAATCATAGTTTTCCCTTTAACGTGGGGAAATCGGTGGTTACGCTAAAGGATACTGTCCACATTATAATGAAATAATATACTGCGTCAAAAGTGCCCTCGATAAATACCGGCACCTGAATCATTAAACACAAAGACGACAGCTATCATTCCGGCACAACGGTGGTGATTTGCACCAACTTGGATACAACGTCCTAGAGTGATGTCGTGATGAGCTACTGCAACCCGCCTCCCAGTTCCAAGTTATTGCGCGTTTTCTCAATCCATACTGCCGCAACTTCCGAAGTACTGATAGTCAAAATGCACCTTCGAAAGACAATTGAAAAAAAGTTACGCAGGTGCGGTGCCACAATCTCCTCCAATAAGCATCACGACCCCTTATATTTCCTATAGGTGATGGCGAGCACACGATCCGGTCAACCTGCGCAGAAAGATCCTGAGGTCGTTCGGAGGGCGATCTTTCGCTGAACGCTGGCACAGCTAAGGCAGTTTCTCTCTAGGCCACAAAGTTGACTTTCGAAGCGTTTAAGGGTTTCACTGCGAGTAAACTGCAACATGTTGTGTCGGATAAGGAACTGGTAGCAACAGAAAGCCCCAGCGTAAAACACTATGAGCCTGGTGGGAAATGTTCTGGAGGTTGGCTTGATTTGAATTAGACGCAGAGTAGCGAAACTGTGAAATACAAAAAGTCAACACATGGGACAATTACGGTCACTAACGTAATACAGGACACGCTCGCATACAAACAAGTTAATAGGCTAGGTTAGACAGGGCATTCGATGGTTAGGGGGCCAAACTTCTAGCAAGCAGGTCGCGGGCTCGAGCCTCAGGGTTGCAAAGTCTGGGTTTGGGTATGACTGGTTCGTAAGCCAGGAGAGACCATTCCAGTCTCCCCTATCTTTATGGGTTGTTATTCTGTTTAAAATACTAGCCACTGTGCGGCTGGTGGCGGGGCTTTAAATTGAGACATAAAGGCGAAACGGGCAGAGTGTGCCCCACAAAGCGATCGGCGAGCGTCCCTTCGAAACATACAGTCAGCGACCGACCTCATGGAACGGTAACCGAGAATCTGAAATGCGTTTCCGATTAGGAAGGATTGCCTAATTGGTGGTTTCATACTGATCGTCCTGTAGGATGGCCTAAAGACATTTCAGTCACACTATTTCTTGACCGCCTGCAGAAACCACATTCGGTAAGGAGACAACTGTTTAAGTAGTATGCGTGTTTTTTACTGATTTTCTGCGCTTTTATACATAGTTGTGTTTGTAGAAAAAATAGTCAATGAAATTATCTCTTTCATTCATCCGATAGCAAGTCACGTCTTCCTAAAACCTAATACTCCGACAAACGGTACATTTACGTTGTAAAAGTTTTTCAACTCCGAATAATTTTGAGCCAGATCTGCTGATGTATTAGCGTTTGGGGTTTAGATTTAAGAAGCTGTATGCTTTCCAAGTAGGGAGAATCACACAAACTCTTGTGTCATTAAGAATATACTTATAGGGCTCATAAAATTCCCCAATGGATATAAACTGTGTTGTGTACTTCTCTGTCGGTGGATGCGCTTGCGCTCCCGCTGAGTATACAGGCCGCCCAGTGATCTGAGTCATCCTCTCCTCGTTCTGATCCATTTTTGTTGTTGGTGAAAAATCCTAGTCAAGTGTTTGTTGCGGAGCAGGGGGTGTGGTGGTACACCTAGGAGCGGGTCCGGCCATGACAATCAGCTGCGCCCCCTCCCGCCTCCGGCCTTCTGTCCTGGCACCGGGTCCAGGTGGGGTGGAGGAGGAGAGTGAGGTAGATGATGCACAAGGCTGCTCTCACTACAAACGAATTCACGCGCAAGTGACCGTGTCTGTCCTCGCCTTGTTGTGGAGCTCACGGTAGACATCATCGGACGCAACGGTGGAACTGTCATAGTTCATAACGCGCATTACTAAACGGGCATATACGATACTACGTGAATGGACATTGCACGGCCGTAAAATTCTCATAATTACAAACTCCGTAGAACCGAAAAATACCCTTTATTCGTGGTTTTACATAGAACGAGTAAATGAAAGAATGTTTTACACATGTTTTCTACAAAATATACTTAAATTTACAAGAGTATCAAAAATCAATGGAATGACTTCATACCACCTAATTAGTCGTTTTTATTGATTGCGGATTTCGGCAGGCGGACGAAAAGAAGTGCATTCAAAGACCGGCATACTGGCGTGACTGAAAGATCTTGGGTAGTGGTCGATCTCATGCAATGTTAACCGAAATGTTGAAGTGTTTGCGATTTGGAAGGATTACCTCAGTGGAGTTCTAATGTTGGTCGAATAAGTATCTAGACACCTGGTTATACTTTAACGCGTTGGACAGCCAAGCGTTCAATCAGTCAGTTAGAAGGAATGCTTCATCACCCCATAGGAGAGTAGTGAATGGAATGGGAACGGAGATTTAATGATCTAATGCGTAACCTGGACCAATCCGTTAGTAGATGAAGCAAGCGCTTTCAAATAATGCAAAACTAAGCGAACGAAAAGGAGGCACATCGCAAAAGGAGAAAAAACGGGTCGAAAATGGGCTAGCGTTTATCAAAAAGA